CCAGCACCCCAACAAGTCGGCAAACCCCAAAGAAAACCAATCACACAGAGATCTCTATAAGTTATAAAGCTGATTGACCCATTAGGTCAGGCTTCTTGTTAACTCTTATAACTTATGTTACCCCATTATTCTTATCTACGTTAGCCACATGGGCTCAGTACCTTTCTCAGTGTGACAGCTTACATGTTGCCTCTTTGGTGGTCTGGACAGGAGTGGCTGAGGAACCTTTCTCCTCCCTAGCCTTATCCTATTCTCATTACTCCGCCTCTACTTCCTGTCTGGTTGACCCGCCTATACTTCCTGCCTGACCAATCAGCGTTTTATTAAAATACATGATTGACAGAATACAGATAATTCTCCCACACCACCCACTTCTTACAAGCTCCCAGTGATGCTATACAATGAAGCCATCCAGGGATTATTTAACTGATTAGGTAAGAGACCCACGAACCTAATCACTTCCCCAAAGCCTGTCAACTGGTAACTAATTCCCCAGGTATATGAGCCTGTGGTTAGCACTTCATAGTACACCCACACCAATTGTTAACATGACACTTAGTTGATATGGTAGAGTTTGAGCAAGAAATGTTCCCCATAGGTACATACATATATTTGAACAGCTGGTCCCTAGTTGGTGGTGCTGTTTAGGGAGGTTGTCGGGGGAGGGGTGCACCTTGCTAGAGGGACACCAGTTGAGACCCGCTTCCTTAAGTTGCTTTTGATTGACGTTTTATGACGGCATCAGCAAAGTGACTAATACATCCAGCATAGCACTGGAGGTCAACACTGTTTCCCACCCTTGGGGTGAATGCTGACCATGACTGATTTGGCAGATTTGCTGCAGGACATGATTTTGGTGAGTACTGTAGGCTTAGCAAAATCAATAGCATGGAGACTAGGAGGAAAATTATAGACAGCCAATGTTATCTCAGAAACTGAGCAGCAATGTGGGGTTAGGGAGATGGCTTAGTGGGTAAACAATCTGCCACACAAGGGTATGAATATCCAGAATGCACGTAAAGCTAGATGTGGCTGCACACATTTGTAGCCCCAGTGTAGTCTCTCTACAGAGAGACCAGCAGGAGATAGGAGAGGCCAAGGAAATCTCGTGGCCCAGGTAGCCTGGCATGTAGAAGCAGCAAATAAGAGACCCCCATTTCAAACTGGGGCACTCAGAGATTAGATGGGCTCCCTGATCCACAAACAAGGAGAGGGACCATGACTACTAAAGACAGTGAAGTTCCAAAGTGGATGACTTTTTCCTCATCCTTGCAACCGGGACAAGAGCCTGGCATCTTAAAACAAAGGTATTGTGGGCTTTTCTCCTGCCAGTAAGTCCTTGACTTGTGTATCAAGTTCAAGGTGGGATCAGGACACATCTACATACCAGCTGTCGACCAATTAACCATCCTATTTTCCTTCCAGTGGACCAACTCTAGGCTAGGGACAGAAGATCCTTCAAAGACTTGAAAAATAAACAAACAAACAGCAGCCCATGGGGAGAAGCTGGGCTTCGGGCTTCCTAGTCTGCCATCCACTTAGCACAGGGTCTTTCTCTGTACCCGCTGTATGTATGTTTCTTCAGCTGCCAGATCTATGAGCTTCTGCTTGCAGTGCTTGCGATTTCTCGGCTGCTACCCACTGCATTTAAGATTTTTCCTGTCTTTTATTTCACTGGCAGAGAAAACAAACTGATTAAGACCCCTAGATTTTAACAAAATCCAGTGGAAGCCTAAACTGACACACAGGTTGTCCCCTAACTTCCCACATTTACAAACCTTAGGATACACACACACACACAAACACACACACGGCAACAATTTTTTTGGTTTGTTTTTTTTCAAGACAGGGTTTCTCTGTAGCTTTGGAGCCTGTCCTAGAACTAGCTCTTGTAGACGAGGCTGGTCTCGAACTCACAGAGATCTGCCTGCCTCAGCCTCCCAAATGCTGGGATTAAAGGCATGCCCCACCACTGCCCAGCCTAACACTTTTTTTTTAAGAGCAACAATGAAACAATGGTGTTGCCAGTTGCTTTGTCTCAACTGATGACTACAGTGGCATCAGTAACTTCATATCTAGATCCTTCAAGACACTTTTTTTTTTCCAAGACAGGGATTTTCTGTGTAGCCTTAGCTGTCCTAGAATTCAATACTGTAGACCAGGCTGGCCTTGGACTTGCAGAGATCCACCTGCCTCTGCTTCCCCAGCACTGGAATTAATCTGCTGGCCTTACTCCACACACTTTAATGGGTGAAATTCCAGTTTTATTCTACGATTATACTCAGGGCTGCCAGAGAGTCAGTTTTTGATTTCTGTATTCCCTTTTCTCTTTATGCTTATGAATTTAACTTTAGAGTTACTTTAGGGTTTTGCTCAGGAAGGCGAGCAGGATTAGTGCTTCCCACCCTGTTAGTTCCTGCTGTAGCAGCAGCCTGCCTCTGCCAAGCAGTTACCAATCACCTGTCTGCAGGTGCCTTTCCACTGTCATCTGTGCAACATGTGCACCCGTTAAAAGTCCCCTGCCAGGCCCAGTTGACTCTCTTGCCCCTTCTTTCCTCTCCTGCTTCTCTCCTCTTTCTTGTTTCTTGCCTCCTTCCTGTCTGTCTGTCTCTCTGCCTGCCTTCCTATCTCATGTCCCTACTTCTACATGGCCTTTTGCTCTTTCTTGTCCCCTCCCTACTCCCCCAGTAAACCTCTTGCACTAGCACTGTTGTGCATGGTGTGTTTGTTTAGTGACACATGTTTGTAGGGCCTGCTGAAATGTACCAACTTTGCCTTTCTTCTTCTTTTCTTCTTCTTTTCTTCTTCTCTTCTCTTCTTCTTCTTCTTCTTCTTCTTCTTCTTCTTCTTCTTCTTCTTC